CACTTGGTACTGTTTTTATACAATGTTTAACATGAGAATAGTTCTCTACAATTTGGCACGAGTCTTTTCAGTAGTTCATCAACTGCTTTCTATGTTTTTAAATTAAAGTTTATGTTGTTGTACCAATCTCTGTTTAATACGCTGATCTTCTATCCCCCACCACCATTTTTTCTTCTAGGTTTTCTTTTCTGCTCTGATGAATACATATCAACTGATGGTGTTTAATTCTGTTACTATTGCTATTTTTTCTACATTAATAACGAATTTGTTATTTTATATTTATTTTAACATTGATGTTGTTTAGATTAAGTTTATATTTAAAAACATGCATGGCTTATACTGTTAGATAGGTATTACGAAACTCCCGCCTATTCTCCAAAGGTGTAGAAGATTCTTGAGAGTAAGAATCAACAATATATCTATATACATATTCGCTTTAACCAGTATTGTTACGTAAGACTGAATTTTCTAGAAAACGTTCCCATGCCTATAAATATAACTAACAAGCTGCGCCAGGGGAGTATCTATTATTAGTTGCTATAAACCCTCAAAAGCTATAACTGTGATTTTTATAATGCTTATCAATTGGAAAACTTAAAATATTTGACCAGGAATATTTATAAATTTCGAAAATTAGAAATCGTCTAACTTCGGTGGATTCTCATCGGACATTAGTATTTTTATGAAAACGTTACCTAACTTCAACAGTGGAAAAATTGACGTGTGATCAGTGAGAGACAAAGCTAGCTAGCTTCCCGTTAAGTAAAATATATCTCCGTCAACTCGCTCATCGTGAACCCTCGATAAGATTTCAAGGAAGTTCCAGACTAGAAAGAAAACTTTATATTGTTTGTAAGTTCGTTAAACTTTTGTTTATAAATCTTTGTTTGTAATAACTATTTGTAATAATTGTTACTGTAAATTGTACTGTTGCGTGTATATTAAAACGTATTTGTGTCAAAAAAGAAAACTGTGTATCAATCTTGTTGGCAAATATTACAAACTGATTATATATCAGTATTTATTTAAATACTAAATCCAAAGTACAATATAACTACTAAATTTAAATTATCGGATAACTTGGCTTTGGACTATTCGAAATTCTAATACATAACACATTACAATTTTTTAAATTAAGGACAAATTTGGAAGAAACATTAGTTTAGTGTATAGCTCAATGAGCATTAAAATACTACTTATAATTAAATAGATAAAACAATAAACACTGTGGATAATGAAACAAAGTTTATTTTCTAACAGAAACCATTTCAATTTGAATTGAAATACAATTTATTACCTAGTGTCTTAAAATTTAATAACAGTTTACAAAGTATAAATTAAAGTAAAGCAACTAAAGACAGGACATTTTTCTTTTTGCTGTGTAGGACTTTTCAACCTCACAAGACAGACTGATATGGCAAAGCACTGATAGTGCTCATTAATGTTAATTATTTTATTTTTATGGATGGTGAACTGGTAATAGGTAAGAGAATAAAAGTGAAAACCTTTTAATGAAATTTCTAAATGTGGCTTGGTTTGTTCTTATATTTTACAATTCAAGCTACTTCATCTATACTTGGTTATTCCCTTTTGAAAGTTCTTGCTAATGGGTACATTACATTATTAAATCTCAAATTTTGAGGTTAAGCAAGTTGCACTTCTATTCACAAATTTACCAGTGATTATTTAATTGGGGTAGTAAATTGAAAATTATATATACAACACGACCTTCTCTGTATGTATATGTTACTTCAAAGAATTTGTAAACTTCAGTTAATGTTTTATTAACAATATTTGTAACAGTTTCAATTCACAAATATTTATTTTCAGTAATATTAAGGTAGCTTCAGACTTGCATCTCTTTTTTTTTTTCTTTCTCTCTCTCTCTTTAATGTAATTTTTTGCTTTACAGTCCTAGTTATATTACCTACATGTTTTCTAATTTCTTGTAATGTTATTAACATTGAAACACAATCTGTTTGGAATTATGATTTTACAAAATTGCAAACAAGATATTCACCCCCTCCCATATTTAATAAGTAAAAATGGAACAGCAAACAAATTAAAACATCCACATTCCAGTAATTAAGCTTTTTTCAGTTACTTGGCACAGAAAAAATAGGCTTAGCAATGCATTAAATGCAAGTTAAAGGCAGTGTTAAGTCAGTAACCATTCCACACGACTAAGACAATAACTTCCACTTGGACAGACTTCAATAAGTACCTAAAGTTAACTTCAGCTGGTGTGAAAAAGTACATCATACATACTTTTGCTACTTATTAGTACAGCTAAATGAAGTTAGTGTTTCAATCGGAGTCTACAAAGTTGTCCAAAATGTATTCTACATTAATATGTCTAGTGTATTTACAAAGTAAAATACTTGTACTAACACTACCAAACCATAACACACTAGTTTCTTTTCATCTTATAGAAAATTTTAAAATATTTTTGTATCCTGCTTGATGACTAGTGAGAATTAGGAGATCATTTAAAATGGACACTTATATCTAATGCTTATTCTGTACTTTTCTTCAATAAATACTTGCAATTTACATTATTACTTAGTTTAATAAAACCTTTATCCATAATAAGAAAATATTTAGATATTTTTCAATTTATATTTTCAAAAGTGTTCTCTTAACTTCAAAATATGAATAGAATAAATAGGTATTTTTATGTGCTGAGTAAACGTTACCCCTTAATAAAACAGTCCTGTATGTTTTTCCAAGCAATTTGTACGGGTATGAAGCAGGCCATGATTGTTTTTGAAAAACCTATCCTTACAGACTGTTACATAAATATATCACAATAAAACTTTGGGTAAAAGATTTTCTTGGCCATTTTGTTTACTTAAGAGATTATATCACCTCCAGAGTTTAAAAAGTTTGCCTTTATTATTTCCTGCTGGCTTGTGAGGCTGAGGCTGCTTAAGTATCTTTTTGTTATCTTCTTGTTCTTGAGTCCTTAACTTTGTTTTCAGTTGCTCATCTAGAAGGATCTGCATGTCCACCTGAAAGAGGAGAGTTATAAAATCATAACTTAAAACATAAGATAAATAAATAGCAAATAAAGTATCTAACCTATATATAAAAGCCATTGTGTGTCACGTCACATCACGCTTGATTTCTTGAAATGGGAGGAGTCATAAAAGACAAAATGCATTTATCCAAATGGAATAGTTTGATTACTGTGTGCACATTATGATTTTAGTGACAGGGTGCCATGAAACCTTATAAATGTAGTGAGTGTTGGTATAATAAGCATAAAGTAAAGACAGTGTGGGATCACCTAGCCTAGAGCCAAGTGCATAAAATTTATCATGAAAGTAAAAATATCTGAATTAAGCTATTTTCTGTTATATCACCAATTTTTTAAAAAAACTCTTTAATCAACGAAGACTCTAAATTGAGAAATCAACAAATATCTTTTCCAGTTTTGTTGTCTGTACATTTCATTTTATACTTTCAGTACATAGACAAATAACAATATTAGGTTATACTTTTGTTGCTAAGCAACATGACATAAAGGCCTTTTTGGGAACATAGTGTTACCAAAATGCACTAGCTTTTTTTTCTGCATTAGAAGTTGTTAATTTAACAAATTTTTACTAATAATTATTTTATGAATACGCCACAAATTCAATTTTGATTGGCTCACAAAGGAATTTAGCAATGTTTGTCTGCCTCGACTGCACTTTTCTGCCTCTTCAGTTAGCTATGAAATGTGAGGTTAGGGTAGTAATACTTTTCCTGTCATTTTTTACTGGCTTTACACAAGTTATAGTATAACAATCGCTGTGTTGTAGCAATGAAAACTATTAAGGTTTAAATAATTATATAAACATATTTGTACTTTTGTGGTACATTATAATTTTGTTTTCGACATCACCCTTAAAACAAATTAGAGTGTCTCATAACTTCAGTCTTTACTGTATGTAGTTTACCAGTGTAAATATCTGAGGTATGAAACTGTGAACTTCTCCATTTATTAACCAGTGAAACAAATGGAGATCTGATTAAACCATGGGTAACTTGTAGCACGTTTTATGAAGAGAAACAGTCAATACCCAGTGAAAGTTCTTTACGTCCTCACAATTCCACCTTAGAGCTTTAACAGAAAAAATGATGTATTTCAAAATAAACAGTGTATTCTCATGCACCTTCTGACATGCAATAAAATTATCAGTAATGAAAAGGTAACAGTAATAAATATATGGTGTGTACACCTTTTACAAGGTGTTGAAGAATGACTACAATTTTGACATATTAGTATTAAGCCTATTAAATGTTTTGAACACTACATTCTTTATCTAGTCCCTTAAGGATTTTAAAGTATTAGAATAGTGTTTAGTAATAGTATTCAAACCACACCCTATATATGTCATATCCATTATTATATACTCTTTCAATACTTGAAAATCCCTAAGGCACAAGATAAAAATATAGTATTAAAAAATTAATAGGCCTAATAGTAATGTCCCATGACAAGTATTAAATGTATGAAGAGAATATAAACACGGCAAAGAAAATATACATTTAAAATCGAAAACAATAGGTGGTTCGTGAACATTCAAGTCTAATATGTACATTTTTACAAAAGAAATAAAGTAAGTGTTAAAACGTTAATATATACATATAGTACATAAATCCACCATTTAAAGTGGCGACCCCTATCCCTGTTGATTGAAAGCTTCTCAGATCTGATGAGAAGGGACTTCTTATACTTCCTATCCAGGAAATCGTGGAATTTTCTTACCATTTTAATACTAAATGAGTGGTCGAATTTAAGCACACTGTGCTCATTGATAAAATGTGCTGCAACTGCACTTCTATCAACCACACCCATCATTGTACTACGGAAATGTTCCACGCAACGCTCTCTTACAGGCCCCCAGTTTCTCCAGTATATGTTTTGTTACAAATACTATAAACTACATCCATCTCCAGAAGTCTCAGATTACATGCTATACAATTGTTCTTCTAACAATGATCCCGGAGTTTAAATACTGAGCCCACTAAATGCGATTTGATTTTAAGCAAAAATCCAGGCTTTTTGTTTATCAAACGTATAGGCAAGCCCAATTCCAGCACAGCATTCTTAATGATATCATTTAAACCCAGGACTCAGAGCCGTAACTAGTGCGGGTCAATAAAGGCAACTGCCCCGGGTGCAAAGTGGTAAAGGGCGGAAAAATGATGGACATGGATTGCTACGGGATTCACAAGGTAATGTAAACATGATGGCATGCCCTGGGCGTTAAATTATCTAGTCACGGTTATGTTAAGACTATTAAAAGGTATGTTACGTCTCTGGTCGTTAGTTAATTTTCCGTAAAAATTCTTTCCGATGAAACTTTAGCGACACAAGTCCTTTCTTAAATAAAACTAGTTTATTCTTTCTCAATACAACTTTGAAATTCACTTAATTTCCACGGCCACGCTATAACTTAAACAAACGCTATAATTCACAACGAACTACACTCTCGCTCGACCCAACTGTCCGTCTCTATCTCTGTATGCAATTCAACTGCCTTGTTGCCGTCACTTCTTGGTGGTCTTATATACAAGAATACCGCATATCTAGTAAACACTCGAGGCTTCACGAAGGGACATGTATTTTCTAGAAGCTCATGACGTGTTACTAGCGTCACGTGACTTCCCCTGTCGTAACAGGTATTAGAAATGCAACATTTTCTTCCAGACTCCCTTGTTTGTCGAATATAATGAAAGCGTTGTTAACCAATCTTTAAAGATAAACATTCGATTTTCAAATCTCCAAGAGATCTACCCTCGCCTTCATTAGATAACAAAGGTTTTTACAAATACGGGAAAGACTCGTCAATTGGCTAAAAATCATATTTCACAGCTTGTGTTCTATGGGGTGTCTACCTCTTGATAAAACCGTATGGTGAAAACGTTGAGGATTTAAATAATTTGCACTATGTACTGACTGTTTCTCTTCATAAAACGTTTGCAATCTGGTGTGCACTGTACTACCTGAATATATGAACCAACAAACACCAGTTTGATAGATTCTTTCTTTTTTTCAGCAAATAATAGAAATTGCGAACTGTTTGTAATAAATTTAACTAAAGGGCGTTTTTAGAATACCAAGATAAAAAACAAACAAACTTATTATATTTATACCATAAATATTAATTTTAAGTTCCTTTCATATTTTCATACGTTTTTTTTTTAGGTGAATAACTCTTCACAGTAGAGTATAGCCTTCAATAGAGATGTAATGCCTATAATACTTAATATCGTTAATTAACAGGTACTTGGCTTACGGGAAAAGCTTTGATTCTTGACCCCTCACTGCTTGTTTATATGGCTCATCAAAACGTATTGATGCTGGAACAATTTCGGTAGTGGGTGCGCTGAAAACTATTGAACAAAACCGAAAACCCTTTATATGATAGGAAACACTCAGGCCACGGGGAAATACCGCACACTCAGCACCTATGTCCTTGTTTAAAACGTGTACTTATGAGTATCACTATGCTCTAATAATTTCTTATTTCAGTTCGATGGGAAAACTAGACTGCATAAAATCTCAGTGCTGACGCTCTGCCATACTATCCAGGCTATTCTAGATAGGACATAATATTCCATGAATAACAACAATATCTAATAGAATTAGAAATGAATAAAAACCCTATAACCCGAGCGCTTTCGAAAGGTGGAACTTTCTTCTTCAGGGGCTCAGTGGTAAGTCTGAAGGCTTATAACACTAAAAACAGGGTTTTGATACCCGTGGTTAGCACAGAACAGAAAGCTCATTGTACAGCTTTGCGCTTAACAAACAAACTATAATAAAATACTATATCATGTTAACAGCTAGCGGTTTTAACAGGTGAACTCGATTCTTTCATACGCAATATCTCTCATCACATGCACAGTGGTTTTCAACCTTTTTATATCGCGACCCCCTTTCGCTCCCCTCTCCCCCGATTTAAGTGAAGATTCAAGCGCTGGCTTTATTACTTTTTGTATAATCGTGTTACTCATTGCAGTAAATACTTTTTGCGGTAACTTTTGTTCTTGAATCTTCTCATAGACCCCAGAATATGTTTTAACCCTGGAGGCACCCCCCCCCAGGTTGATAACCATTGCCTTAGAGAGAATCTTTAATATATTGTCTACGTCATACAAGCAAAGCACATAATCACAATCAATTATTCGTCACTTGCATGTTAGTTTTATGATTGATTATAACCAGGGGCGTCGACAAAAAATTAATAAGTACACACGTGAGGATGGGATCTGTTGACCTCCCTTGAAAAATGGAGATTAGGGGCAAAAAAAAACCTGGAAACTCTGCGATTGCAAAGAAATGTTTATATTTACTAACTCTTGAAAGTTCGTAATTTCTAACCTTTTTTGTTTTTATTAAAGTATTAATTTAGGTCTGAATTTTTTTTCTTAGGGGGAAAAAACATATTATGTGCGTTTTGTGTATAAAGGGCGCGGCGCCCTCACTAGCCATCCAGTGGTCGAACCTATATACCTAGAATTACAACAAGGATAGATTTTAGATTTGTTTGATTTGGAACATTAAATTTAATTTCTTTGACACTGTTAGCTTTCTTCAAAATATTATAATTAATATCATAGCTGTGAGAAAATCATTTTTATATAGAGATTTTGCTTAAATGAAGAGCCCGGCATGGCCAGGTGGATAAGGTGCTCGCCTCACAATCTGAGGGTCGCGGGTTCGAATCCGCATCCCACCAAACA